GTATTAAAATAGTAGCATGTATCTTTTATGGAAGTCTTAAGTAATTATTGATGTAGTTTTTTTATATCTTTGCAATCAGTACCGTCGACTTGTACAGTGAGTATAACTGCATACCTCGGCAATAGAATCAACGGTCAACATTCAAGAGTATGTCGTACATCAAGTCCTGGTATTGCGAATACATTACAGCCTCTTTGATGCATGTTGCAATGCACAGGGGTGACTTTCTCTAAGGGACACAATTATTATCTTTTTAAATTTCTGTCAGAATTATACACATCTATCAACTGTAAATAATGATTTTAATAAGTAAAAGATAGCTATTGTTATATTTTAGCTATTTCAAGTTTTTTAATATAAATTGTGGAAAGATGGGAAATTTTATGTACAGTATATATCCCAGTAATCCTACATATTGTAATTGGTTATTTTATTGGATATTTTGGTGTTTTAGTGGGTGTTTTTTTAAGTGTGTATTGGTTGTGGTTTACTTCAATTCGTTAAATCTGAAAATGAACTTTATACTACAGTCTGATTTTGACTATCATGCACTAAAGCTGACCTGACACTGTGCCTTTGAGGAAAGTCAAAGATTCAGGCGGCCCATTAATTATTTAATATAGTACATTATTAACTAGCAGTAAGGCATTGTTTCAGCACTGTAATTTATCAGAGTAGATCTCTCCAGCTTTGTCCATTTCCAGTGATGTGTTACAGATCATGTCCTGGAACTAAATAGAAATGATATACCTCATTTGCTTCTTGCCAACAGCCAATTAACAGAGGCTGTGAGTTTATGAACATGGGATCTTTGCGCACACAGAATTTGGATGTAAAACTGCAGGTCACATTGACATGAAACACAAAGAAATACAGTAAGCAATCACCTTCAGACTTTAACATTAGGCTGTCAATTTATGAAACATTTGAATCCAATTAATTGCATGACATTCACAATTTATTTATTAACTGTATTTGCCAAAACAAAACAAACTAAATTAATTAATTATTGAAAAGACATTTTAAAAAGTATCTTTAGCAGTCAGGGTCTTTACACTCTTCGGTCTACACACGAGGAGGCCTTCACGCGACAGCTGCCGCGACCGCTGTCGGAGTAAACTAAGCTTTTTTATACCCGTCTTACAAAATACTAAATTAATTCAGCTGGACACACTTTCCTTATTTTCTCCGCAACAAATGGCCAAGCAAGCGCAGACACTGACAAGATACGCGATACAGAACGAGACCAAACGCGATATCAGCATGTCTCCACACAGTAAAATTAAACAGTAAAGTTACAACTTGCAGATGAAAAGGCGTATGTGACGTGTGTGAATCAGACAAGTGAAGTTTACATAATAAAGTATGTTGTGGCAATAGTGTTATAATTGAGCTATGGGTAGACAATTTGTTGCATGAAAGTTGACCTCTCTCCTTTTTTTATTTTTTTTGGAAAACATGAAAAGTTTAATTTAATTAGTACTGCTCTCTTTAAATAACTAAATATATTTACTTGGTCAAAAATACAATAAGAACAGTAAGCTGAGAAGTATTATTACCATTTTTTTCTAAATAAATATTTTAATATATTTTAAACTATAATTAATTATTGTGATGGCAAAGCTGAATTTTCAGCATCATTACTCCAGTCTTCAGTGTCATATGATGCTTCAGATATCATTTTAATATGCTGATTTGCTGCCTAAGAAACATTTCTTATTATTATCAACAGTTGTGCTGCTTAATATTTTTATGGAAACTGTAATACATTTTTATCAGGATACTTTGATAAACTTACCCCTAACCTAAGGTTCATAAGAACAACATTTTTTTAAACCGATTTTTATGTTATAAATGTTTTTACTGTTTTTAATGTGTGTATAAATATTTGTATTTATTTTTAAAACAGATATTTTTAAGAAAAATAATGTTTGTTTTAATAATTTAGCTAGAAAAGACAAAATGCTTATTATGAAAATGTCTGTTTTTATTTTTTTTGTGTGTACATTAAAAAAAAACAGAATAAGAAGGAGATGGAGAAGAAAATTCACAAAAAGTTGATTGGTTCTTTTTCTAATTTCACTCTTTGTTTCACTATGAGGGATCGCTTTGGGCGTGACCAACTGCGGAAGCTCTTATAACACCACGTCTATCTTTGACAGACAGGCTGACCTGTGACCAGGCTCCACCCCACCTATATCAGCCAGATCGACCCCTGCCAAAGTCATTCATGCTTTCTTCCCATGGGAGACTGCAGTAAGCTCTCTCAGCACATCCTGACTTTGCTGATTTTGCTAAACTGTTCGACAGGCGGACCGTCATTGGAATCCGTCACTGAACGCGAGGTCAGTTGGACTGGATTGTGTTGAGTGACATCCTTAAAAATTAGAATAGTGTCCGCGTCAAGGCGAGCTATTCTAATTGGCCTGTTGCGTATTAAATTACAGTGGTAGGTGACGTCAAGTCAACTTGACGCTATACACGTCAAGGCGAGCCTTTGGAAGGTTTAATTACTTTAGACCAACAGGTTAACAGTGTTGTGACGAGTCTGAGGTTTGCATCACTTCTCAGCCATTATGTCGACAGCCATCACCTCTGTCAAAGGGAATGAGTCAAAGATCAGGAAGGTTGCATCCCACCCGTGTCCATCCTCATGTAGAACCATCACAGGCAGGAACCATCACCCCATGTGCTTTGTGTGTATGGGCCCGAAGCACACTCAAACGTTGCTTGCGGACTCACAAACATGCACTCACTGTGCGTCATTGCCGGTGAAAATCTTGGAAGGGAAGCTGAGAGTGGCAGTGACTAACAAGCAGGACCCATGCCTGTCCAGAGCTGCCACACAATCTGCAGCGACTGACCATCTCACACAAGCTGGGTGGACATGATGGAGGCTGAATCCCCGAATATGCCTCCACTGTTTGAGGGCCTGCTCGTGCAGGAGGAGGGTGAACAGGGGGATGAGGACGCAGAGGGCGATGCTAACTCTGATCACCTCGATTTAGACATTGATGACGAAGAGGAGGAAGACAATTCCCACTTCCCCAACCAACAGTCTAGGCCACCTTGCTAAAAGTGACCTTTATGTTGGGAAAAGGTTGCCTCCTTCTCAGCCTGCAGCGAGACAATTCCTGCATGCCATGTCTGCTTGCATGAAGGAAATGTCCCACTACTGGTCTAGCCTCTTTAAGAGCAAGCTCCCCACTAAGGGGTATTCCATGTTGGAGATACAAGGGATAGGAGAGCTGAGGTTGGCCGGACCCCCAGTGGGAGAGTCTTCAGTGGCCTATCATC